CAGGGACCCCCGAGACTGCCTCACAGGAGGCCAAGACGGCCCCAACACGGCCCAAATGAGTTCCATGAAAGCTCCTCGAATAGCGAAGACGAAAGTTGTCGCATGTGACGGCCCTGCTCCTCCTCCTCCTCGTCATCATCATCATCATCATCATCACCACCAACACCGCCACCACCACCACCACTGCCGTTACTATTAGTATGACTTTTACCATCATCATCATCATCATCATCATCATCATCATCATCATCATCATCATCATCAACAACAACAACATCAACATCAACATCAACATCAACATCACCATCACCATCATCTTCATCATCATCAGCAGCAGCATCATCATCATCAGCAGCAGCAGCATCAGCATCTTCCGCATCATCATCACCACCACCAGAACCCTCATTCACATCATCATCATCATCATAATCATCATATTCACCATCACCATCATCATTATCACCATCAACATCATCATCAGATCAGCATCGTCGACATCATCATCAGAATCATGATCAACATCATCATCATCGTCGTCATCGTCATCAACATCAACATCATCATCAGCAGCAGCATCATCACCATCGTCATCATCATCCTCATCATCAGAATCGTCATCGTCGTCGTCATCAACATCATCATCGTCATCATCATCATGGTCATCTGCATAAGTATCAACATCATCATCGTCAAAATCGTCAACACCAGACTCATCAAGAGCAACATTACAATCCCCATCATCAGAATCAGAATCATCACCAACAACATCAACAGCATCATCAGAATCAGCATCATCGTCGTCGACATAACCCTCGGCATTCATGATCCTCATAATCAGCATCAATATCAGAATCGTGATCATCATCATCGTAACCCTCATCACCCTCATTATCATCCTCATCATCATCAACAACAACATCAGCAGCATTATCCCAGTGCGACCCTACATAGGAGCGGTAAACGCCGACCTCCTGCATTAGTAGGAGCGGTAGTACATATATATATATATATATATCTGTATATATATAAATATCAGGAAAGCAACATTAGTAGGAGCGGTAGTACATATATATATATATATACATAGCAGCAGCTATGCTGTGCTATGCTGTGCTATGCTATGCTATGCTATGCTGCGCAGTGCTATGCTGGGCTAGGCTAGGCTATGCTATGCTATGCTATGCTGCGCTATGCTATGCTGCGCTATGCTATGCTATGCTATGCTATGCTTTTGCTTTGCCTTCGCTTTTGCCTTCACTTTTGCCTTTGCTTTTGCTTTTGCTTGGCACCCAGGGAGCGCAACTGGGGGAACCGCGCGGTTGCTTTTATCTTTGCTGTTGCTTTTGCTTGCTCCCAGGGGACCAGGGGAACCGCCCGGGGCGCGTAGCACTGCCCGGCCCCGGCGCGTAGCACTGCCCGGGCTCCGGTCCGGCCATCGAGGCTAGCTCGGCATCTGTCGCACATTACTTTTGCTTTGCCTTTCCTTTGCTTTGCTTTTGCTTTTGCTTTGCTTTGCTTTGCTTTGCTTTGCGTTGCTTGTGCTTTGCTTTGCGGTCGATGCTGTTGCTTTGCCTTTGCTTTGCTGCTGTGTTATGCTATGCTCTACTATGCTATGCTATGCTATGCTATGCTATGCTGCGCTGTGCTATGCTGTGCTGTGCTGTGCTGCGCTATGCTATGCTATGCTATGCTATGCTGCGCTATGCTATGCTATGCTATGCTGGGCTATGCTATGATATGTTGTGCTGCGCTATGCTATGCTACGCTATGCTATGCTCTGCTGTGCTCTGCTATGCTAAAGCTCAGCGAAGCTAAGATGAAGGTAATCTAAGCTAAGATAAACCTGAGCTAAGATGAAGCTAAGCTAAGCTAAGATGAAATAAGTTAAGCTAAGATGAGATAAGCAACGCTAAGCTAAGGGGACGTAACCAGGGGAACCGCGGGGCGGATGCCGGGGGAACCGCCCGGGGCGGGGTCCACTGCCCGGCCCCTTTAAGCTAGACGGTAAGAATCCTTCTAGGCAGAGCCTAGGTAGGGAATCATACTTATTATCATCAACAACATCATCACCACCATCATCACCATCACCATCACCCTCTTCTTCATCCTGCTCATCCTCATCATCATAATTATCAACATGATCATCATAATCATCATCATCATCATCATCATCATCATCATCATCATCGTCGTCAGCATCATCAACACCAAAACCATCGTTGGCACCATTACCATCACCATCCCCATCCTAATCATCATAACCACCATCATCATCATCACCACCACCATCATCATCATCATCATCCTCAACATCATCATCATCATCATCATCATCATCATCATCATCATCTTCAACATTATCATCATCGATACCATCCTCAATATCGTAATCGTATTCGTCGTCATCATCATCAGCATCATCACATCAGCATCAGCATCATCATCACGGCTCTCCCACCCTCGAACAGTCGCCACCGAAAATGCTGTGCTGGCACTGTGGCGGCACTTGCCGCAACAGCTCCTTCCCGCCGCACCCCCAAACGCGTCGGCTGGGCGGGCCGGAAGGCTCGCCTGAGACTCCCTCACAGATTATGACCCTGAGACTTGAACTTTGACCGGATAGAGGGGGGCGTTTGCTAAGTGAACCTCTCGCCTTAGCGCCGCGCGCATGCGTCTTCAAAGACTGCAAGAGTCACACGGATGGATGCGGGGTCGTTCACGGAGTGGAACTCTTGCCTTGGCGCCGCGCACAGTCGTCCTACGAGTACGCAACAGCTGCACGGATGTAGGCTGTTCTTTTTCAAGATGGAGCTTTCCCCTTAACGCCACGCACATGTATTCTAGCGCCTTGAAACAGTTACAGGAATGGAGACCGGTTCTTTTCGAAATGGGGCTCTCGCCTCAGCGCCGCGCACCTTCGTTAAGAAAATATGCAAAAAAAATAGGGCTCTCGCTTGAGACCTCCTTTTCTGGATTGGAAGACCAGAAACTCTCAAAAGTAGAAGGTGCACAGGTGCAAACCTGTGCGCCAGGTCGCACTGATGGGGGCGGCGCTCTGTGGCCGCCTCGCTGAGCTGCATGGCCGTACTCTTCGGCATTCCTATCTACGCGCTAGAAGGACGCGAGTCAGCCCCTCCTCAAAACGGGGCTCGCACCCGAATGGCAGGCTCATGTGGGCGCTGGTCGTTCCAGTGGGCGCCTCTTGCAGTGAAACGGAAGCCGGTAGGGACTCATGAGAGGGCTGGGAACGAGAAGGTGTGTCGCAGCATCGTTGATGCATAGGCTCACTCTGGTCCTCCTCCTGCTCCCCCATCATCCCTCCCCCTCCCCCCGCCCCCTTCCCCCCCTCCTCCTCCTCCTCCTCCTCCTCCTCCTCCTCCTCCTCCTCCTCCTCCTCCTCCTCCTCCGTCTCCCCGTGCAGATGGCTACCCGTAGCCAGGAAATTCTGCTGGTGAGAACGCACCGGGGGCTAGCAAGAGGCTTGTGGCCGCCGCAGCCTCGACGAGCACCTCATAGCTTGCGCCACATGGCTTACACCACATAGCCCGCACCACGTAGATTGCACCACATAGCTTACACCACATAGCGACGGCTTCAAATAGCTTCCTCATACTCAGTGCAATAATCTACTGGTCGGGGTCAACGCTGGCTAACATGTATGTGTCTTGCAGAATTGGATGGGTAAGCCAAAAGATCGCCTGGTGCCCAGCTGACGGGCACCCGTGGGCTCCTCGTGGGCGCCTCGTGTTGGGTGGGTCAGCCGAGGCTCAGCCTGGTGCCCGCCCGTGAGCGCCTCGTGGGCGCCTCGTGTTGGGTGGGTCAGCCGAGCCTCAGCCTGGTGCCCGCCCGTGGGCGCCTCGTGGGCGCCTCGTGCGCTGGGTGGGTCAGCCGAGGCTCTGCCTGAGGAGAGGGGGGCAAGGAGGCCCCGAACTGCATACGCTTCTCGGCCCCCATTGCGCACCCCTGAACCCCAGAGGGGCGTCTTTAAACTTGGACCGCGGCACGCCGCAGGTCTTCAGGGCGGAGGACGAGGAGAAACGACGAGGAAGAGCTGGACAGACGGGAAAGTGGAGAGACCGAGAAAATGGCGAGGCGGGGAGGTGGAGAGGCGGGGGGGGATAGATGGAGAAGTGGAGAGGTGGAGAGGTGGGGAGGTAAAGTAAGTTAGTGAGGACATGGAGCGACGACTGCGAGGAGGGACGTGTGAGGAGGGCAAGGAAAGAAGAGGGTCGAGGAGCGAGGCGCGACGGAGGGGTCATGGCAAGAAGACTCTTCCATCAAGTCCATCGGAGGAGAGAGCCGGGGCGGAAGGCAGGAGAGGAAAGTTAGCATAGCCGAGCTCATTCTCTAGAAGACTTCCCCTGAGCCGAAACCATGGGGCAGGAGCTACTGTTGGCGCCCTGCCCAGGGGCTCGAGGGCGAAACACTGCTGCGGCTCCCTGCCATACACTGCAGCTCACATCAAAAACTTTAAACTTTATCCGTGCATGCCGCATTGGGAAACTAAGATAGAGAACCTAATCCAGTGCACCTCGCCACGTGGGCTTGACGTGAAATATCGTCGGAGAGCACTGGCAGGTGGACCTGCAGCGCTTGACAGGCACCGTGACCCCAAATTGGGCCGCGGAAGGAGGGATGAAGAGGGATCCTTCTGCTCCGACGTCGCATCTTTTTCGTGACACGGCCCCCCGGGGATCTCGACACCTTCCCCAGAATCAACTCCTGATTCTGATGCGCTTTCGACAGTCCCAGGGACGGAAGGGAAGACAGCCTCCAGAGGCCGCAGACATCCAAAAGCTGGGCGTCGAGAGTTTTGTTGCGCCGCCTCCAGGACGGGGCCGAAAAAGGACAGGATCATGCGGCAGCTCACGGGAGCCTCCTGCACCATCTCGCTGGCTCTTGCGAGTCAACGCGAATCGGCGCTCGCCAAGGCTAGTCGACGCTAGACCGACGCAGATCGACTCCACATCGGCGCTGACTCGGCGCTCCCTCGTTGATGACCAGACGCTACCGCACGCGCACGCACTCCACAAGCGGACTCGCGAGGACACGCGAGGCTCCCGTGCTCTGCTGCCGAAACCCGAGGCGGGCGCTGGCAGAGCGAGCAGACGATGGCGTCGGAAGGCGAGAGGGGCGCCTCCCCCGCACGAGCGCGGCGGAGGCACTCGGGCGCCGGAAGAGGAGGGCGGCGGGCGCGGTCGAGCTGGGCGCGCGCAGCAGGGAAGAAGCAGCAGGGGCGAGGCCCGGACGGAGCAGGTCCGGACAGACCGGGCACTCCGTGCGGACTCGCTCCGCGCGGCCCTGGCACTCGATCGGGTGCGCGAGGCCCGAGAGGCGGCGCGGCCGGGGCATCCGACGCCGTGGTTCTTGTTTCGACACGCGGTTCCCCAGAGGTCTGGACCACCTCCCTGGCGCCGGCCTTTTCCCCTGACTCGGTTTTTGACGGCCCCAGGGCTGGCGAGGACCCCTGGAAGCCGAAAAGTCGTAAAATCCTTGTGTTTGGGAGGAGGAGGAGGAGGAGGAGGAGGAGGAGGAGGAGGAGGAGGAGGAGGAGGAGGAGGAGGAGGAGGAGGGAGGAGGAGGAGGAGGAGGAGGAGGCAAAAAAAAACAGAGGCGTTTAGGGGCAGGTCTGGGTGAAGCCTAAACTCTGCAGGCCCCTCGCGCGGGGGATATGCAGGCGGGCCGAATGTATCTAACGACGCCCTCGGCCTGCTCGGGGTGCCCCCCTGGCACGGTTGCGAGTGGGGGCCCGCAGCAGGGGGCTAGAACTCCCTACAAGAACGTCAATGCGCGGGGGGGGCTGGGGCCGTTCCTGGGCCCGCGCACGACCCCCAGGGGCAAAGTAAAAACAATCCGAGAAAAAAAAGAAAGAGAGAGAGAGAGAACAAAAAAAGAGAGAGAGAGAGAGAAAGAGAGAGAGAGAGAGAGAGCGAGAGAGAGAGAGAGAAAGAGAGAGAGAGAGAGCGAGAGAGAGAGGAGCTGCAAAGAAAGAGAGAGGGAGAGAGATGGAGAGAGAGAAAAAGGAAGAGAGATAGAGAGAAGGGGGGGTAAGAAAAAAAACTGCAAAGAGAGAGGCGGAAGGACCGCAGCCGCATCCCGCATCCCGCCCCGAACGTGTGCACGCGCGCTCGCGCGCGCTCGCGCGCGGGGCGGGGCCTCCTCGATCCACCCCCACCCTGCCACTGCCAGGCCCGCGGCCCTTCTCGAGGAGACTACACACCTAGCCCCCGCTGAGGCCAGGGGAAAAGGGTGGAAAGGCGCAGGCAAAGGGGCAGGAGGACGGGGAGGCCAGATGGGGACGAGCGAGAGGGAGAAGGAGGGGGGGAGGTCGGCGATCCCGAAACATGACGCCACGGAAAAAACAAGCCGCCAGGGAGAGAGAAGGAGGAGAAGAGGGCCGACAGCAGACAGGACCAGACGAAGGAGTCGTAGCTGCTCTCGCGAATGCCAAAACAAGTAGGGGGCCAAAAACTGACAACTTCGGCTCTAGGTTTTTTCAACTTTGAACCACATCTGATTCAAAGTTGAGATCTCCACCCAATACAAAGCTCGTGCGTTCGAGAATGGTGACGCTGCCTACCGCGCCAAGCAAGTCAAGCTGCCTGATCGCGACACCGTGCGTGTGCAAACCGCAAACTGAGGTGACCAGGAAAGGAGCACCTCCAGGCAGATGGGCGATCCCTCAAAGGAGGGTGCAAAAGTCCCTACTGAAAACAGCAACTCCGCCCGAGGAACCTCCTGGATCCCAACCGATGTCCACCCATGCCTCAGGCAGAATCTCGATGCTGATGATATCGCGACAGGATCCGACAACCGGTGCTCCTGAACCGAAAATTGCATGACTGTCGCAGCAAGCCGTTAAACAACCCTTCATGAACCCCCAACTGTTGCAATTAGCCGCGCTCATCTGGAGAGCGAGCTGGTCTGGGGGAGGACGGGAAGGACCCCCCATGGGAGACAGGCAGCTGGAAGCTCACGTTCTAAATTACTGTTGGCACCAATCGTAGCACCGTGAAAAGACGCGGACGATGTCACGCAGGCATCTGCCGCCCCAGCGCTAGATTGGACCTCGCCACCATGATCCTGGAAAGCCCCCCCTGCCGCCGAAAGCGTGCACTGATGCGAGCGAACCGGACTCGCACGCTCTCTGACGCTGGCCCGTGGAGAGGCCCCACCGCTTCCCGAGCCTGGCGCAGCGGTGGCGTCAGGCTGCTCAGCGGGCGGGCGTGGGCCCCCAGTCCCGGCACCTCCTCGAGCGTACCCGGGGGGGGGCAACATCCGATGATCTCAACCACGGCCTCGAAGAGCGCCTGGCCTCGCGATGGTTGCGGGGCGGGCGACCTGATGGCGAACCAGTCCCGGCACCTCCTCTTCCACCTCCAGGCGCGCGTGCGGGCCCCCGCCCCTGCCCAGGGTGATCAGCGCCAGCATCACGCTGACCAGCAGGAACTGAGCCGACCTCCGTGCGCCTCTCCTTCTTAGACAGAGGTGCCTCCGCGAAGCTCGGAGAATCTACGTCCGCACCCCCGAGCAGATGTGCGTCTTGGTCCCATCCTCGAAAAGCTTCTTCCGAGCCACCCACGCGTCCTTCCCCTCCTGCTGAAACGCGACGGCATCGTCGAACTCGCCAAGAAGATCAACAACAAGCCTCAGAGCACCGTCTCCTACAGCGAGCAACGCTTTGAGAGAGTTGCCCACTGGCGCCGTCGGACTCGACGTGCTTGTTGGGTCAAAGGTCTGCTGCCATATGCGCGACCAGCGTTTTGTGCTGTGACTCGTAAGTGGGGAGGTCGTCGGGCACATGCTGACCAAAGGATTCATGCTTGACCATGTCTTCTCTCCACCGCTCCAACTTAGCCCATTCGTGAGCCTATTTCCGTTCAAAAGATTTGACGTTGAGGCCTCCTGCCACTCTCGGAGCTCGAACGAGGCAGGAACCTTCGGGGTAAGTTTCCGTGTGACCTCCTCTTTTGCCGAGACAGGCCTGTTGTGAAGCCCGTGATATCTCGCTGACCAGAAAAAGTAATGATGTCCTGTAGCTCCTCGACTGAGAAACCGACAAAAAGATGGAAGAGCCCCATGACCTGGAAGTCTGTGGTTACTGGGTCTTGGCTGCAAAAGAAGAATCGCCCCATCAACACCAGGAGACGACTGGCACTGGACCAATCTCACGCCGTTGACAAATCCAAGTGCTTGTCGCTTGGCTCTACGCATTTCCATAGACTTCCAGTGCTGGCAGAACGTCCACGATGGCCTGCTCGTGCTGCACCCACACACCCCGCAGCGCCAAGCTCCCG